TTTTAACGCACAAAAGAATGGCGCAAATTTTACCCCGTGAGATTTCTCACTTAGCTCTGTAGGATTATACCCCTTTTTCAGATTATCCTAGTTTTTTCTAATTTCTTAAATGGGCAGGATTACTTGACATAAAAAATGAAAAACCCTCTGCATGATGGGATGGTCGGAAACGATCCAAATTCTGTCCGAAAAATATATGCACAAAAGCTACATAATTCAAATTCTTTGTAGTTTTCAGCAATATATATAAACAACATAAAAAACATAATTATAGACAAACGATGTATGTTGAATACCTGTTGCAGAATAAATGTTGAATATTACAAATACGGCTACAGCGGATATGACGACCAATACTAATAGATTAAAAACTTCAATAATTTACAACAGGTAAAATGATTAAAGAAAATTTAAAGGAACAAATTATACAAAATTAAAAAACTTATAAGCTGGAAAATATGTACTATTACTGCTTAAAAGATCATACTTACATTACACCAAATATACTTCTGAAATTATACGCCATAAAGGTCAAATCTTCAACGTTCATAGCGTTATATTCTCACTTATTTTAAAACCTAAATGATTGAATTACTGTAAGAAAGAAAATGTAATCTACTGAATACATTAAGTTGAACTTAAACTATTAAATATTTTAAAATTGATTGAAGGTAATACAGAAAATAAATCCGCAGTATTCAGATGTGCTAAATGGTGCTTTTTAAACAGTTTACAAATATAAAATATATCGTTAGCTTTCGAAAAATCCAACCTTCATAATGCAGACTTTTATTTATCCTTGATAATAAATTGAACGTATTAAAGTTTTTGTCGCGCTAACCGCAACGAGAACAGTACGTTGGTTTGAAATATACCAAAAAAACTTTGAAAAAATACAGTTCGGCACCTAATTACAACAGCAATGAAATTAGGATAAAAATTTGCATACCTTTTGGTACTCACTTTGGTTCTTACGCAACCGGAAACGCTTCGGAATGCCCGGCATAATGTGACGTTAACAGTTAATAATATTGGACTGTTATTTAACACACAGGCAAAAGGGTTTTTTTTTTATTTTTAATTTTTTTTGTAAATTAAAGTTTCATAGTCTTGCACGCTGAGCAGAACATGCCAACCTCAAAAAATGAGGAGCATATAAGCATAATTAAAATACTTCTCATTCCCAGGAATTTTTCCAATTTCTTTGGTTTTTATATTATGTTTAACATATATATATGTATATATATATATACGAAGTGCGTGCGTGCGTGTGTGTGTGTGTGTGTGTGTGTGTGTGTGTGCGTTGTGTGTGCGCGTGCGCGCGCGTTCGGGTGTGTATTTTGAATATAATTTTCTAACTGTTACTTTGTTTTTCCCATTATATTGGTTAAGAATGATGTATGAGTTAAATTCAAAAATAATGGGCAAAATTAATTGTTTACTGTTTTTGTGTTATTAAATTAAAATTAATCATCAAATTGGTCAAGAAGGTCTACACTTGGTTTTCCCAACAATTGAAGATTGTTACATTGCATAGTGTTTTTAAAAAATGTGCCTTATTTTAGCCAAAAGAAGGTAAAATTAAGCTATGTAAATTTAAATCGAATATATTGAATATCTTTTATATTTTTAAGTATATCGTGATTTAATTGATCAATGTGTGCTCGTCCCTTGCATTTTATATCTAATACTAACGAAAAAAATTGTGGATTTCTTTTTGAGGTATTATTTTGGCCTGTCTACTTTCGCTCTTCTGATACCTCTGAAGATAGGGATAAAGAGAAACGTATCAGAAATACTAACAATAACTTAAACAAATAAATGTAGGATGAATGAATAAAGCAATGAGCAAGTTTGTGTAACTAAGCCCGTTTTGCCCCCTCCCCAAAAAAAAATAATTGGTTCTTTGAACTAATTACATGTATTGTGTTAACATGGCATTACAAAATTTATCAGTTTATTTATCCACATTTAGCATATAGACTAACGAGACTTGAATTGTTTATAAAATTAGCCAATAAATCAGATAAATATTATCTTCATGCTGATATTGTGGCGAGAATATTTGTTGTTGTTTTCTAAAACGTTCACATATTTTAGTTCTTTCATTTTATTGCTTTTGCGATATCACAGAACTTTGCATAAATCAAATCAGGAGATTTGCAAATGTGTGTGGCGACGACAGCCCATCTCCCAGGATGTCGCAAACTAATTCAGATCTTGACAAACTGTCAAATAAATGTGGTTGCACAAGTGTCAAAAATTGCCCATTGTCTGGCCGGGTTGTAAAACTTCGAACAATAGACATTTATAAGTACCGGGTTGTAACTAAGTCCCTCAACACTCCGCCTCAGTGTCGTTCCCGCCGGGCGGAAGCGTGTCATTCAGACTGTGACCGAAGGTTCAGGAGAAACCGTACCATCAAAATAACCAAAAATCGCCAATTGCACTGGCTCCCCCACGGTGAGAAAGCTGTCTCTTTATCTCGATTATCCGATCGAGTCCTTCAGACACGTGGACTGTTTTAAAAAACCGGCTGTTCAAGTTTTCAGACTCGGGAAATCGGTGCACTCACCTGCTCACCTACATTCTCTTTCCCGGTCTCGTCTTTGCAGGGCTTATACTTTTTCCGTATATACAATTTAAGATAGATTTTTTTACGTACTTTTTTCTCATCACATTCAACATTCTTGAAACGGGCAGCACAGAAGTTCGGGTAAACATAACAACTTGTTAAACCATAAATTACATAACAGATCTGATGAATAACAAAAATACAAAACCAACAACTAATTTTTAGCACGTTATTATAAAAGCTGTTAAATTTTCCTAAATGTCAAAGGCTACACGATCATTTAAAAAAAATTATTTTTCATTACTAACATGCATTCTGTCAGCAGAGGTTGGATAAAAAAACGGAATAGCAGTACAAAAAATGAACACGCAATAAACCTAAACCGTCGGCTCATTTTACATCAAATATGATGAATCACCCCCATTTTAAGAATATTTCACTAATAACTATTGAATTTTCATAAATACAAAAAGTTATGATAATTTTCTAAAAATTTTATTCTAAAAAAAATCACTATTTTCGTGATCCGCTTGACCAATTAATATCTTTCAATTAATTAAGGTTTTTAGTTGAGATAAAAAAGTCAGTGTCACGAGCGGGATTCGAACCTACGTCCTTCGGCTAAATACACCGCCGCTCTACCACTTGAGCTATCGTGACTTCGATCCACTCAGACACTAACTTCCCCGCTCGTGACACTGACTTTTTTACCTCAACTAAAAACCTTAATTAATCAAAAAATATTATATGCAGGGTTTAGATTGCCCGGCAGAATTTCTCTTGAAACCTTTCTTTTTTAAATTGGTCAAAAAGTGACAAAGTTATGGCACAAAGTTTAAAAAAACAGTCATTTGGTTCCCGAAGACCCTGGACAAGATGTGAGCGATACGGCTTAAAATTGTAAGTCCAGAGAACATCTCTAATTTTATTTCTTGAAAATCCTAAAACCCTTCCAACATTTCGAAGAGAGGAATTCTAATTTTCGCGAATATACAATAAAATATTCAGCTCCTCGTCGAAGTTGCGCTGTCGGTTTCTTTTTACAATAATTTTATCATTTTTAAGCAATTTAAAATCCGATTAAACCATGGTTTTCAGCGTAGAAAATCCTAGGATGTGCTGGATGTATATTATTTGAAATTCTGAAGTTGAACTGGGCCTGTGGTATCCTGTATAATTTTACTCGAAAAAAGTTGAAAATTTGAAACTAGGCTAAAAAGTATTAAACGCGTAAGTTATCTTGACTATTTCCTGAGATGCGTTTTTGTGATGTTAGTCTAAAATCTGATTTTTTAAAGATAAAATCGTAATTTCTCAACTTTACGATCTTACGTCATTAAAATACAAATCCTACCTTTATTTTACAAACTGCATTAAATTTCCCATAACATAAAAACATTTTCGTATAATTCTAATAACAAATGGCAAAACGAGTGGGTTTTTTTAGATATTCTATTGTGGCTGGTGCAATGACTTTTCAAAATAGAAATATTCTTGGATTTCATCAAAGTTGCTTTATTTGATGAGCATTCCAACGACATACTCACTTTTACATTTTTTTATAGAATTTTTGTTATTGCAATCACCTTTGCAAGCTTAAAAAAGGTTATATCTAACCCAAGGAATGCAGCAATAGAAGAACATCGTACATGTTTTAATAAAAACTTTTATTAGTTGATAACAAACATTATATATATATATATATANTATATATATATTTTCTTTTCACAAAATGTACATCATTAAAGAACTAATTCCATGTAAATGAAACAACATTAAATTATTCGTATTTGAAAACTAACTAATGTGTTTTAGTAAAAGAGTAGTATCTGAGGTGGAGAATTTAATATAGTTTGTGAAATAAAGTTCAAAATAGTATCTCAATGACGCTAAAGTTCCGAAATAACGATTTTGTGTACAAAAATGTCTAAAATCACAAAAATGTTAATATCACAGGAAAGAGGGGGCGTCGGTGGCTGCAACGGTTTAGGCATTGGCGCTCATCATTGTAAGGTGAAGGTCCCGAGTTCGAATCCAGCGGCCCTGCATTCGAACCCGACATACTTACAAACGGGCTTTTTTTTTAAAAACACCGGCACCCCAAGGGTTGATATAACCTCTGCTGTTACAGATAGAAACCTCGTTCTAGTGACACTGAACTACGTTCTCTTTAGTGAATCCCCACCAGTTTTGACATATAACTCTGTTACACTCTATATATAGAAATCGATGTGTAATAAATAAAACTGATTCATATTGTTTACTGTCTAAATATAAATCCGCATACTCTCTATAAATTCAAATAGATAAGATAAACGCAAAAACGCAACTTCCAAAGGAAAGTTATCTCTGCTGATACTTCCTTTCGGAGATAGCATATCTCCGATCTACATTTACATAATTAAAATGACAGTAATAAAACAAATTAAGATTTACATTTGGTTTATTCCAATTAATATTTACAGGTGTATTAAATTTACATTTTATTTTAACGTCCCATCATATTTGTTGAAAAGCGGCAAACATCAAAAAAGGTATGACAAATCCAACCAATGTGACGACAACGATTGCTCCGGAGAGCTTGATCAACTGCCAGGCACAGCTGGCCCAGCAGTTTTCTTCATCTACAGCCTCCAGTCGTCGAGAAATCTGAAAAATACCTTCTTCGGCATTTACTTCACTTGGCTTACTCGTTAAGTTACTTAAGATCTTCATTTTTCTTTGTTATCTTTATAAAAAATGACAAACTCTGAAACACAGAATTAAAACTGGATTAAAAGCAATTTTGGGCTGTCAAGGGTGAAAATACACTTTCATAACGTACACAGAACTATGCAAGTAAGGGTCCAGGACTCACCGAATGGTAAATCTTTCGTAAGTGATGTCATCAGCAAACGGTATTGCTTTCTCTATATATTTTGGCCAAGAGGGAAAGTGAAAGCTTTTATTATTTAAAATCTTACCTGGTTCAGATCGTGAGAAGATTAGAGGACACAACGGTGTCTCGGTGTCATATACAAACCCCTGTGCTCTGGTTTTGAGCGAATCGGCAGATAAATGACGTCTGTTCTCGTAGGCAGTCTAATGCAAACTGAGTGAGCATTTAAAAAAGATAGCTAATCTGAGTTGCTTAATCGTTCTGAACCATACCGATAAGAGTTTCCTGTGTTTATTAAATTTTAATTTACTATGCAATTAATTACTTAGTATATTCTTTTTGAAGGTTATTTTATTTTTAAATTTTGATTAACTCTATATCGAGTTTGCATATTAAAAGTCGAGGAATGAGGTCAATAGCCAATTGGCCTCATCTCTGGTAGTCTTTTAATTTAAAATTATAGCGCTGAAGGCAAATCACTAGCTATATAACAGGGCATGTTATGTTTTGCCGCATTGATCATAATTTTGGTAAAATTCAAATATTTCTTATTCGTTTAAGTTATAACAAATGAGCAACGTTTTGTTGATACTCATAAACTAAGAAGACAATTTTTTTAAAGTATATATAATGAACATGAAGATATAATTTATTAACTTTATACAATAATAAAGTGACACAAAAATTCTACAGTAATAAATATGAGTAAAAGTAAAATAATTAAAGTAAATCCAGTCACATAGGAGGGCTTAACGTCCGGCTTTACAGTTGTTGTTTTTCTTTTTTTCAAAATTAAACTAAAATAAATTTAAATATTCGAACCCAGATTTTCTAGCTTCGCAAATATGATCACTGGGCTACCAGTCTCCGTAATTAATATGAGTATGTATTACAAAAAAATTGAATGCATTATTTTCATGTTTGTATTGCAGTAAGATCTATAAAAATTCTGTAAAAAATTACTTCAGATTTCTATGCTTCGTAATCAGAAAGTACTCTCTATCTATCTATTACTCTCTCTCTCACTCTCTCTCTCTCCCTCACCCTCTCTCACTCTCTCTCACCCCCTCTCTCTCACCCTCTCTCACTCTCACTCTCCCTCACTCTCTCTCTCTCTCCCACTCCCTCTCTCACTCTCCCTCTCCCTCTCTCTCACTCTCTCTCTTTCTTTCATTCTTTCTTTCTCGCTCTCTCTTTGGATATATCTATCTATACATCAATCTATCTTATGCACTCTATCTATTTATTTATCTCCTTTCTCATATTTCCTGAATGTAATGCTATTTCTTTTTTAACTATTTTTAAAAATCTTTTTTGATAGTTCTTCGCTGTTATTCACTCCTTTCTCTCTCTCTGTCTTTATCTCTCTATCTCTCTCTCTCTGTTTCTCACTCTCACTCTCTCTCTCACGCTTTCTCTGTCTCGCTCTCTTCCTCTCACCTTCTCTCTGTCTGTCTATCTGTCATTCTGCTTGTCTGTCTGTCTGTCTCTCTCTCTCTGTCTATCTCTCTCCCTCTCTCTCTCTCTCTCTCTCTCCTTCTCTCTCAGCATTCATGATGAATGAACATCTTGGCAGTTAAAATATTATATCAATCCCTCGTTCGTAGCCATCTGGAATATGCAAGTGTCGTGTGATCCCCTTACTACGCTGGTGAGATTAGCGACTTGGAAAAAGTACAAAAGAAAGCAACCAGAATAATGGCCTTCAGATTTGGTCTTGCACACCTGAATTACTTGGAAAGACTGAACTCGCTTGGTCTTGAGTTGCTTAGCTCCCGCCCTATTTTTGCCGATCACATTTGGGGTTGGAAATTGTAGAATGGGGCCATTGATATCCTGAACTTACATTTATCGCTGTGTGTGCCTCAGCGACCACTTAATTTGTTCTTTGTTCCACACTACAAAACAGAATATGGACTAAATTCATCCCTACCGAGGATAATGAGATTGCTGAATTATTATTCTGATGAAATAATGTATTTCGCGTTTCCTTGAATTCAGTTAAAGTTAAATTAAAATGTTTACTTGCCTTGAATCATTAAGCCTTGTGTTTTTGTTATTATTGCTTAATTGTTCATTTGTTCTTTTTGTTATTATGTGCCTTTTTTTTACTACTCCTCTTGTAGATTCTTTCTGTTGGAGTTATAATAAATAAATAAATATACTAATACCAACTGACCAACAGAAACCCATTTAATAATAATAAATATTATTAATTATTCAGAAATCGTGAGATGCGGTCTGGTATTAATAATAATAATTTTAATAAACTTTATTATCAATGAGATTTAATCGTCTTAAATTTGATAATATATTTTGGGGAAAATATGAAAAAAATATATCCATAGTATACTGAAAAACAGAGTTTACATTGTTTGGTAAATCCTCTTTTAGGCGCACAACCTCAGACATGATTTTGCCAAAAATGATATCATCTTGTACACGCGATATCATAGTGATATTTTCTTTCTTTTAAATAATATCCAATTTTTTTAATAACTTACCAGACATGTGACGTCGAACATGTTATCTGTTTTAGTATAATGTGGTTAAGTTATTAAGAAACATGAAGTTTACGCATGGATGGAATCATTAGATTAGGCAAGAAATCAAAGCTAACATGTTGATATCAACCAATGTTAATTGTTAAAAGCCACAAGAAAGAGACATTGTCTTTTGACCATATTTTATAAATTTGGAGGAAGAAACATTTTCGCAATCTTAAATCTGCCAATCTAAAAGGGCAAGGGTTAGTATTAATTAAGATGATTCTTCAAATTTGGCTGTCTTTCGAAAACACGCGACCGTCCTTTCCGTCCATTTCTGTTTCGCTTTTTGAAATTGCTTCGAAACACCACTGGAGCAAGGTCTGGTCTCGTCACGACAAATAATTTAAAAAAACCGATCATTTTCGCGTGATATGCTTTTCTATATTGTGGAATTGTTTCTTTTCGAATTAGTGGCCTCGGCGTTTCGCAGTTATTAAAGTTTGAGAAATCAATTTTTTGAACGTGCACCGTCCAGCCTTGCACCCTTTCTGTGTAGCAGGTTTCGTTCCTCGACCTTCATCCGCCACGCCCGAGACCTTGCACCTCTCACTTTCATCTTCCTTTTGTCTATGTGCAGGCCGACCCTTTGATACTGAAATGACATCATCATGCATTAAAAAACTAAAAATGAATATCAGGTGAAAAAGTACGAGGATGGACAATATCATTCAGAAAAAAACATCTTTAGTGTACAACATCGTGTTCACTCGTAACACAACACACAACCGTGACACATCTACACAAAAAACACATTTTGAACCCTGAAGATGATCTAAATGAAGATAGAAACGTTGGCACAATAACGAAAATGTTTTATAAACCTAAATCACACAAGAACGACTCTCACGATCACTACAATCATTAAGAATGATATTAAATTAAAAAGAAATGAACCTAAAATAATTCACGATCACTCTGGATCAAGGTATTGTTTTGAAGAAAAAAGCAAAATCAGTTCTTATTGCCAAGCTTTCGACCTATTTTAAGGTCATCATCAGGGCCTGTATTAATTTCATATTCACAAAAAATATATTTGTACAATTGATTTGACAATTGTTTTTCATAATGTGCAATTAATATAGGCTCTGAATCTGACTGTAAAATAGGTCGAAAACGTGGCAGTTACAAATGAATTTGCTTTTTCGTGCAAGACCGTACTTTCATCCAGAGTGTTCGTGAGAGAAATAGTATCCCATACTTGTAACATTGAAACTAAAATAATTCGAAAATTAGTACTACTTTGCTCTTACAATGAAGAGAAAAACGCAGCATAAGAATTTGGAATGATGTTAGATTCCATTATGTGCAGGCAATCTCCTTTTTTGCATAAAATATAATTTTTATTTATTTAGAAATCGTGAGATGCTGTCTGGTGTGATGTAGGTTTCAGAAAAACATTTTCTTTATCGTGCCAACGTTTCGATCTTTATTGAGATCATCTTCAGGGCCTGGGATTTACAAACATTGTTTACATATAACAATTACATTTTGGATGTGGAAAAGTGAATTTATACAATGCAAAATATATTTTTTTATATATTCAATCAAAGTATTTCTACTCACTCAAAGTGTTTGTCTTCTGTGTAATTGTGCCATTCTTGCGTGTCCCGTCGAGAGTGCCAATGAGAGTTTGCTATTTTGTGTTTATATACGTTGGATTTTGAAGGGGTGGGGAAGGAAGTCGGTATAGAAAAGACATTTTTCTATAAGGCGTCGGCTTCTTTGAGGTGAAAAGAGCCGACGAAGGGAAAAAATGTGTTGGTAATGGTTCGGCCAGATTATCCTTTCAGGATTATATAGAAAGGGATAAATAGTAAAAGGACCGCATCTCACGATTTCTAAATAAATATCGATTAACGGTCACTAATCACCACACATAAAATATAATTGTGGTAATCCAATATTTACAATGTGGGGTTGAGATGGGAAGTTAGTGCCCGAGTGGATGGAAGTCATGATAGCTCAAGTGGTAGAGCAGCGGCGTATCTAGCCGAAGGTTCGAATCCCGCTCGTGACACTGTCTTTTTTATCTCAACTAAAAACCTTAATTGAATGATATTAATTGGTCAAGCGGACCGCGAAAAACAGGGAATATTTACAATATTTTCATTTTCTGTGACATTTTTGAGCCGTCATGCTTCCCAGATTTGTTAGTGAAATCTGAAGAGCCAAAACTATCAACATAATAGGTCAAACATTTATTCTCATTATCTGTTATCAAGGTGCAACGAGAAGGTCCAATATTCATAACATTTTGGCCTTAAGTAGTTGCCAAAGAGGTGGAATTTAAAAACTGACATACTTCATTATCATTATTGTTGGCAGTCGGTACATATGTTATATATAATATGCAAATAACCTTTAAATCATGAATGAAACCATGCTCCTAGTTGTGATTTTTGATCCTTTGTCACGCAAGAATAGTTTATTAAAACAATTGGTCCATTAAAATAATCCAGTTTTCAAAATTTTTGTCTTGTCACTTTTCTTGTAGGTGTACGATATAATAAATTCCCTGCTTATAACTATTACTAGAATAGATTTTATTTACTATAATTTTTCTCACAATGTGATAATTTACACGAGAGGTTTGGTTAGACCTATATGACCTTTCAATAAGCATTTTACACAAATGAAATAGAATCAAAATAAACAACCAAACTTTCATGTTATATAGAAAAGATTGACATATTGATTATGTTATTGGATTATCTTATGGAAGCATATATAAGTATATGAATTAGAAATAAACCAATCTTTGGATATGATTGACACCTCGACTAAATAATCAAGTAAATAAATAAATGCAGTGACTACTGTTTAAAAACACTTCAGATTCATTCTATACAAAATGAAACTAAAATCAAACATGTTTTTCTTAATTACTGAATATATGCGTTATTCAAGGGCCAATAAAATAGTTAATAATGACATAAAAAGTAGTATCTATATAAAGGTTTTACAATTATTTGGATTTGCTTATTGATGATGTAGGACCATAATTTCAGCGCTTCTCTGAAAAAATTACACTCTTTACTAATTGGATTTTTCCTTCAGACTTTCTGCATGAATTTTTTTTCTTCAAAAGTTAGTGCACTGAAAAATGATCACTAACTGACCATGTTTCTACAAAACAAAATATTTGGCTTTTTGAAAAAAGGTTTAAACACTTGGTCTAAATCTGCAGCTAAAAGGCTTGAATAACTTGATAAGTTCAAAATACCACTCTTAAATATTTTTCCTTTAGCTGTGGTTTTGAAGACATTTCGAGAGTATTTTGCACTGTTCGAATTTTTAGTATAAAGTTTTATATTGTAATTTTTATTTTTCTTTTACATTGCCTGTTAGTAAAATTACAACTTTACCAACCATGTCAACCTTTTATATAAATAAATAATGTTGTAATGTTTTTCTAAAATTTTCTATAATTCTTGAAATAGTAACTGATTACTGTGGTTATTTCATCATATTTTTTTCTATCTATTTTGCTGTTTCAACTGTTGCATCAAGCCTGTTTCCTCATAAATATAAGCACGATTTAAAAAATGGTTTTGTTGTTGTTGTTTTTTTCCAAAAGAGATCGATGTTATTATGTATATTGCTTTGTTGTTGTTGTCATAGGATTGTGTTCGTTCTATCACACTGATAACTTTCAAAAAATAAACAGAGTCAAGATTGTACATCATCTTAATATTTTGCTTAATTACACATTAAATCTTTTATAAATATTTAATCATTTAAGATTATCTTGTACGTAGTATCGGTTTTGTGTTTTCTTTCGAGAAAAAAATTTCTTCAGACATGTAATTATAATTAGTAACAATATATAAATTATTATAGTTGATTACAATTTCTCTTTTATTATTTTAAACATAACGTTCATATTTAAAAAATAAAAATTTGCGACGTCAAATAAATAAATGTTTTTCAAAGCAGGAAACGTCTAAAAGCCTTGTTAAAATGTTTTTCTTCCTATTTTTTCTAATGAATTAAAATGTTTACATAATTTACTGACTATTAGCATCGATATGCGGTTATAATTATCCCATAACATTAACTTATTGAATATGATAAACGGTGGTTAGTAATTTGCTCAAGGCATGAGCTTTCTTGACCCACAATTAAGGTGAAATGCCTCGAGCAGCTCGACCTTTGCCCTGAAAGATATCCCGTTTACCTGTAATTTCGTTATTTATCATATTCATATTAAAATATTAGTGATTGTTTGTACTTTAGAAGCTACTTAATGGCATAATGTAACACTGAAACACTTGTTAGGGTGTTGTTAAAGTTATTTATTTATGTTGAAGGCTGTTAAATGATCTACTGTGAATGTTAAAATAGCGAAAACGCCGCGATAGAAATTATCTTGATGTGATTGATATCAGCATTAATATGATAATTATATATAAGAAAATAAGGGATAACGCGGATTTGAAAGAACGAAACACTCAGTTCTGTCGTCAATTTTTCGAGGAGACCCTTCATCTAATGTATATAAAGAATAGGTTTATGTATCGGTTATTTCCAATGTAGAAAGCCATGTTTTTTGCCCAAAAATCAATGAATAACATGAAAACGGTTGAGAAATCGGGCGATGTTGAAGGTGACCAATTGAAAGGTTATTAAAATTTCCTATCGATTGCTATAGGGCGCCACTCCAGAACGTTTTCCTGGTCCCACGGCTCAATTTGAAGTTTTCGTAAAAAGTGCAAAAAATAACGTTCCCGAATTTTTGAATTTACTGATAAATGACGGAATCGAGAAAAACATTTTAATAAAGCCGTTTTGTTTTGCGTAAAATTTTCTAAAAAATGAGACCTAGCGCAGGACGGTGACTAAAAAGGCTGAGAAAATATCCATTTCCCCAATTTGCCATTATTTTGTGCAAATAGTCTTTTTTTATGGGAAGTGTAGTTGAAAACGATTCTTTTCATAAACCTCTTTTAAATTCAGTTCAAACCATTTCATTGGGGGGGCGTCGGTGGCCGCAATGGCTTAAGTCAGGAACACACTTACCCAATGCTACGCCATGCGACGCTACCCGATGCTACCCGACGCCTTGCCACGTTTTGGTGGGATGTGCACATCTATCCGACGCAAGTACACGTCGCGTACAGTCCACAGCGTTTATCACAATAATCACTATCACAATCGCAATGCATCTTTTGTTCTTAATGCACTATTTTGAGCAAAACCTTGTAATAAATTGTTAGTTAAATTTTATGAGCACAACCATCTAATAAATTGTTTGTTAAACTTAATTCTTTTAAATAAAGTTACTCCTAACCATCTAATTAAACAATGTTTATAAATGAGCTCGTTTAATTTGGTTTACATTAAAATAACATGTTGTATTTAATATAACGACAAAATTATATGTACTTAGTTTGAAATAAACTACAAAAAATATGAGTGTCCTGTTCTGATGCTACCCGACATTACAAAATGGTGTAATTTTACGAGCAAAACTATGACATAAATTGTTAATTAAATTTTATGAGCAAAACCGTGTAATAAATTGTTCCAATTGTAGTATATGTACCGCCGAAGCGAGTACAATGAATTGTTAATTAAATTCATTATATCAAAAAATCGTATTCCGGTGTTTTGATTGATTTTCTACCAAACCATTAATTAATTAAACTAATTAATTTTTAATCACAGTTAATTTGATTTCTATTAAAATAAGTATGTTGCAATTAATATAACGACAATAATATGAGTGTCCGGTTCTTTTGTCTTCGACTGTACTCAATGCGACCCGACGAAAATCTGGACAGTGGGGGTCGCCCAGCGTCGGTTAGGTTAGCGTGGCATAGCATCGGGTAGCGTCGCATGGCGTAGCATCGGTTAAGTGTGTTTCTGGCTTTAGGCGTTGACACGGCGCTCATCACTGTAAGGTAAAGGTCCGGGGTTCGAATCCTGCGGTCCCACATTTGAACCGGACATACTTACAAATGGGCTTTTTGTCATAAACACCTGAGGGTTTATGTGACCTCTGTAAAAAAAAAACCATTTCATGAGTCAATTGTTAACTTGTACGTAATTATTAATTACTAATAATAATTATTGAAAATCGGATTTTTATGTGATATACATTCGATATGTTGGATTTTTTAACGCATGTTCATTAACTATATTTGATTACTTACACAGTTAACAAAAAATCTACCTATAATTTTAAAAATTATGAATTTTCAACCATAAGAAATTTATGATTCTTAGTAGAATGGACGAGATCTACCATCAGTCTACTCTGGATTACAATTGTAACCTCCATTCCACTAAGTTAAACTCGAAAATTCGTTTATTTTCAATGTTTTGCAGTGTAAGCAAGCATAAAAAGTCGGGTCTTTGCAAAGAAAATATTAAGTGTTACAATTTAATAATGTTATAATGTTATTCATGACTTACAAATTTAAGACAAATGTCTCAATTCTAATTCTGGCGCTGGCGTCTAACACGTGTGAGATAATGCTTGACACAAGTAGGTAAATATCATAAAATTTGTATCAATACTGATCAGAATTATGGTCGTTAATGAAGTGATGTATACTATATAGTATCTCTAATACTATATACGTAGTGTACATTTTAGCC